TGGTAGCATAGTGTCTAAGGCACTTGACTGCTCACCAGAAGGCTGGCGGCTCACACCCACCAGCCACTCCTCGGAAGGAAGGTTGGGCAATCCTACTTTCGTAGTGATACTGCCTTGGAAACCCAAGGAGGGGTTGCTATGAGTCAGGGCCAACTCGATGGCAAACAACAACAACAACTATATATATATATATATACCTTTCTATAAAGATACAGAAATCAAGACAGTATTTTTTTTTATACACACACACAAACATATATATATATATGTATGTATTTCTGCCAATACCACATTGTCTTGATTTCTGTAACTTTATAGTATGGTATTGTATTATAGTATAGTTTTGTAATTAGATTCCAACTCATAGTGACCCTCTTTGGGTTTCTGAAGCGGTAAATCTTTATGGAAGTAGATGGTTCAATCTTCCTTCCATGGAGGGGCTGATGGGTTTGAACTGGCAACCTTCTGGTTAGCAAATGCCTTAGACACTACACCATGAGCGTTCCTCTATATAAGGAAGAATGGGCAACCTACTTCCATAGAGATATCACCTTGGAAACCCAAGGAGGGGTTGTTATGAATCAAAATCCACTCGACGGCAGTGAGTTCTTTAGAATTTTATATATGTATTTCTGCCAGTACCACAGAAATCAAGACAGTGTAGTATATATGTATGTGTGTGTGTGTGTTTCTGGCAGTACCACATTGTCTTGATTCCTGTAACTTTAGAGTATGGTATAGTACTATAGTATAGCTTTGTAATTAGGTAGTATGAGTTTATTTTTAAGTACCAGAAACCCACTTAAAAGAGTTCAAGAAGAAAACGAGATTTGATTGGAAGGAACTAAATAAACTCAATAATTTCAAAAAGTGGTAAGTTCTATGTAGAATATATATATATTAAAAAAGAGGTGCTGGCAGATGCCTTAAGAGAGAAGAGGGCTACTATGGATGGGATACTTAGGAAAGCCTCCTAATTTGAACTGAGACTTGAGTGATGCAAAGGAGTCAACCATGCAAAGATCTGGGAGAAGTACTGCAGGCAGAGGGATCAGCAAGTGCAAAGACCCTGAGGAAGGAAGTAGCCCGAAGTATCTGAGGAAGGCAGAAATTATTGTGGCTGGAGTGAGTGGCAGAGATGTTTCAAGGAGTGGGGGGAGGTGCGCCAGATCATGTTCAATTCTGGGAGATCCTCTGGATTTTCTATTTGCAATGGGAAGCCATGGAGGGTTTTAAAAGAGAGACAGATATGATCTGATTATTTTTTAAAAGCCCTTTCTGGCTGCTGAGTGAAGAATAGATTGGGGATGTGTGAATCAGATGTCTTTGGCGCGTCTAGTGATAGAAAACCTGATGCAAACTGCTTAATCAGTCAGGAAACTGACTGGCCTTTCTAACCATCCAGACGTAATGCAGACTTCAAAGTTGGTTGATTAAATCAGCCTCAGGATGTAGAAAAGAATCAGATTCTGTCTCTAGGCTCTGCTGGCCATAGACTCAACTTCATCCTAAGTCTAAGAGGTGTCTAGCTGATCTACAAGGGCTGCCCCAAGCACACAGGACTACATGTTTC